GGGTTTGAACCGCCAGCCTTCTGGTTAGCAGGCAAGTGTCTTAGCCACTATGCTACCAGAGCTCCCTAGTACTCAATAGGAAAATATTATTATTTTATTTTTGGTGGTTTTTAAATGAGGCCAGTTTCACAAGAGTTCAGTCACTATTTTGGTGCTGTGGAATAGAATTGTTTGCTTTCTTATTTTCTCTTCAGCCATATCTTTTGTATTTACCAAAGTGCTACGTGTGTCTTTTACTTTGCTCAGCCTCATACTGGGAACACTCACCTGATGAACCAAGTAGAATTGTCACCACAACTTTCCCAGCAGTGGTTATCATGTTGCCAATAAACTCTTTCAGCTTGGATGCTACAGAGGCAAGCCTGCGGAACAATTTTAATTTTGTGCTTTCTTCTAAATCGCCTTCAACACCATCTCTTCCATCTAAATCTTCTTCATATATCAGTGCCTCCTCTGAATCTATTTTTTCTCCTCCATTCTAAATAAATGAAAAACAGAAAACACTCAGTCCAAAGCTCTGGCTCTTCACCCAGCAGATTATATGGTTTATAATATATGGCCCAGTCAATGAGGTGAATTTCTCACAAATCAGGAGCAAAAATGCAGATAACAATGTAAGTCTCACCAGGGTTCAGACAATGCCCACATAAGTCCCTATAACTTTGAACTAAATAGGAAAAATATCTTCCCTAATGACATGCCATTTTACCTACAGGTTCTCATTTTTTAAGGGCAGAAGAAGAAATGGTCAGATACATATGTTAACAATCTTGGCTTTTATAAATTTGGGTTTGAGTCTTCAAATTTGTGGTTTGTCACTGAGGTGATAGGAAATTTTTATATAACCATCCACGGCTTTAATCAAAAGGCTGGGCCTAATCAGTGTCAGGAAATCCCCTTTCTTTCTGAAGTTTATCTTTGTTCACTATTTTAGTATTTCCTGACAAAAAGAGGATGAGTGATCTTGGGTCACTCAGTTAAATATACAGTCACTTCCTATCTTATCCTTTTAAAGAACAATCTAAGGGTTAGATCCTGACAATCCGACATCTCAGTACTTTCATTGCAAGTTCAGGTAAGACACACATATATCAGCACATATACTTCCCTCCATGAATTATTTTATACTAGGTCTAATGTGGTTTTTAGGAGCTCTGGTAGCATAGTGCCTAAGGCACTTGACTGCTAACCAGAAGGCTGGTGGTTCAAACCCACCAGCCACTCCTTGGAAGGAAGATGGGGCAATCAACTTCCGTAGTGATACTGCCTCGGAAACCCAAGGAGGTGTCGCTATAAGTCCAGTCTGACTCCACGGCACATAACAACAACAACAACAATGTGGTTTTTATTTGTTTGTTTTGTTTTTAAAGAATAGATAAGGAGTTTTATCAGATCATTAGACTTTCCCTGAAAGGTCTAGGACTTCTTAAAGAATCCATAAACCTTAAGACAAAATAAATTTGATATAGATACACGTGGCTTTTTTGCAGTCCCCAGTCCAGCAGATGTCCCATCTTCAACCTGACTGCAAAGACTGAGCTAGTTGCAGAGCTCAGAGAGTCTGTAGACTCTGCTCAGACATCTATTTCAGGTTTAAAGAACAGAGGTTGGCCTCTGTTTTCCCATTTTAAAATTTCTCTCTCAGTACACTTTGTTTAGATATTTACATTATACTCACATCATATTTATACCAAATTCAAATGCTGTGTTCATGCCCAGTCACAGCTGCTTCTGGTTTCTGCCACACTACCCATGTGGCTCCACCTGCACTCTCTGGGTGCCCTGCATAGCATGGCTCCTGCTGCTGCTCTGCTCTTCCCTGATGCTGGGCATCAGTAGTGGTGTGAACCTTAACTCTCCCCAGGTTCACTGGAGGAAGGTGGGCAAGTAAGTGCCTAATGGACCTTAAAGACTCAGAGTCTTTCTGTTTTCTTGGAGGGTACAACCCCTGACAACTTCATTTGGCTACAGCATTCCCCCACCTATACACATATATTAAGATTTAGTCCCAGATCAGGAGGCATTTGTAGTTGTGGTACAATGAATTTCTCTTATATGCCTTTCTAGCCCTGGGTTTGTAATTCTCCTGAAATGATTGGTCAGGCTATAGTCTTGCAAGTGATTGCTCTTCTTACTATTTGCATTAAGTGGACTTCAGAGATTAGTTGGTTTACTAGACACATAAATGGCTTGTAATTCATCCAATAGGACTGAGTGGCTTGCAGTCCACCTAGAGGATTGGTTAGTTTTTGGTCCTGCTGGTAAGGCCAGGCCTTGAGATTGCCTATATTAGCAGTTAATCTCACAGAAGTTTTTTGGGACCTCATGATCAAGAAGAGCTGAAGTGGAGTGCATTCTTTGCATCCAGGGTTCCTGAGCTTAGAACCTCCTAGACCCAGTTAAAAAGCTGTAATAACAGTCAATACAACACTGAAGATGGAGAGAGACGGTGGGCTGTTAGCCCACAAAGAGAGATTCTGTGGTGAGCTAGTTGGCTTAGGGGGCAAAGCTGAGCCTTCTTGGACAAGAGGTAGACAACAAAACTGGGCATCCTCATGCAGAAGTAGCCTGTAGAAGCATGGAAGACCCTGTACAAAGTTCTTTCTATAGCAGGACAGAGCCAGCAGCAAGAGGCCTAGAAGGACCCAGTGACAGAGGCAGTAATGCAAAGCCCAGTGAGGCCCAGCATCAGCAGCAGGAGCCATGCCATGCACAGCATGCAGGCAGTGCAGGTGGAGCCACATGGGTAGCGGGGCAGGAGCCAGAGGCAGCCGTGATCAGACATGAACACAGAGTTTGATATCAGCATGACTGCTGAATGACATAAGTATGGCCATGGGTAATTTTGGGGAATGGTAAGTTGGGATTCCCCCTTTGAGCTGTCAGGTTCCTCTCCTACAAAGTGAGCTACATATAGTGGGGGTGGGACCTGTTCATCATAAATAACCTGCTCCTATTGCTTACTGTTTGCTTTTTATAAATAGAAATATTGTGCTCATATCTCCTGTGTGGCCTAATCATAATGAATGAACATAGCACCAAGGAGGGTGGTATCACTGGGGAAGTCCTCATCCCTAACAGTTTTATTGCTGCTTAGATATTTGAGGCACAGTTTGTTTGAATGTGCAATGCAGATAGACAGTCAGTGGGTTTATTACTATTAGTGGTAGAATACTTGATTTCCACATGGGAAACCTGGGATTGATTTCTGGTCAATACACTTCATGTTCTGCAACCTGTCAGTGGAGGCTTGTGTGATGCTGTATTGCTAAACAGGTTTCAAGAGAGCTTCTAGACTAAACCAGACTAGAAAGAAAGGCCTGACAATCTATTTCTTAAAATCAGTCAATGAAAACCCTATGGATTACAATGCTCTGGTCAACAACTGACTGTGGGGACAGTGCAGGACTTGCTCTGTTGTGCATGGGTCACCATAAGTCATGGAATGACTTGAAGGCAGGTAATAACCACCACCATCCCATGTTCTATTCCTGTTTACATACCAAAATTGGGCTCTCTTGTATTCTAGTATAGCATATATTTATTTTTTTCCTGAAGCAGAAGGATGTATCATGTTTATTCATGCCTCTCTGTTCTATTGTGCTGGTATCTCTAGTAAGAGATGGAGCAATAATTGTGGAAATAAAAAATCAAGGCACAAAACCTCTCACAGTACTAAATGCTCTGTAGAGAACTAAAAGAGGGGATGTGACTGTGAGTAGCTGGGGGCTAATGCAGATTCTGAGGCTGGGGAGAGCCACTTGAAGAGATGACATTTATACTATGATCTGAAGGTCACAAAGGAGCCAGCCAAGAGACAATCCCAAGGACAGCGTTCCCTGGAGGGAGCCATGGTTGTGTTCTAAGAGAAAGTGAATGGGGCTAGATGTGCTGATGATCCTGCCAGGACTGCACTAAGTCCCTCTGCTTTGGACACTGCATGAGGAAAGACCCTCTCTCTTGTATCAGGCAAGTATTCCTTTTTCTTCTGGACCACTTTATTAACACATACTTAGCTTACCATCTGTTTTGGTTACTTTGTGCCACTCTAACAGAAATACCACAGGTGGATGGCTTCAACAAATAGGAGTTTATTCTCTTACAGGTTTGGAAGCTAGAAGTCTGAGTTCAAAGTGTCAGGCTATGGAGGCTGGGTGAAAGCCCCTTGACCGTGGGTTTCAGCTCTGCCTCTTGCTCCCAGCCCAGTGAAGCTGGAGGCTTTCTTTACACAGGCAGCTGCTGGCTGCAAAGTCTGACAAACCAAGGTTGACAAGTAAAAAGATAGTCCTGTTATTACCAAATCACAAGGCAGGCTTTTGATCCAAGTCCATTAAGAGTTCCAAGATCGGCAGACAACATGGCAGGCTGCTACATGCAGGATTCAAACGTTCCAAAAGCCACAGACCATTTCTAAAGCTTCTCTTTATATACTGGGAACAGACCACATCCCTAAGGCAGTAACTTAGCTGCTCACAGTAGATTTCACCATGGAGTTGACTATCAATCTCATCATGGGGAATATAACATCCAGCTGCCCAGCCATTCAAAACCAGGCCCAGGCAAGTTGACACATAACCTTAACTACCACACCATCTTACCTGAGAAAAGACAACACTTCTGGACCCACGGGAATCCCTGGGTGGTACAACTGGTTAATGTGTTCACTCAGCTGCTAACTGAAAGGTGGAGGTTTGAATCTAGCCAGAGGAGCTTTGGAAGAAAGGCTTGGAGATCTTCTTTAGTAAAAGCCATTGAAATTCCTATGGATCATAGTTTTACTTTGACACACATGCAGCTGCCATGAGCCCAACAGAATCCAAGGCAAGTGTATCTTTTTTCTGGCCTCATACCTGCCTCTTAAAAAAGATGCCCCAAAATTGCCAGCTGGACCCTTGGCTCTACTTTCTTGTTATATAATTGCTCTTGAATGTGCCCCGATTGGACTGTAGTCTCCAGGCACTCCGCCTAACAAGGAGTACAACATAATCTCGGGCTTAGTTTTAAAACAAAGTATAGTTGCCACTTGGAGCAGAGCAGAGGGGCAGCAGCAGTTGAGGAGTTGTGGTGGTCTGGGAGAGAGAAGCAGCAAAGTTGAAGAGAGGTCAAATCAGCAGGACTATCTGGTGAATTTGATGTGGGAGGAGGAAAGAAAAAGGAGAATCAAAGATAATTCCTACATAAAGTGGAATATTATACAACTATAAAGAATAATTGTTGTTGTTGTTGTTGTTGTTGTTATGTGCCGTCGAGTTGGCCCCGACTCATAGCGACCCCTCCTTGGGTTTCCGAGGCAGTATCACTACAGAAGTAGGATTGCCCAACCTTCCTTCTGAGGAGTGTCTGGTGGGTTTGAACCGCCAGCCTTCTGGTTAGCAGTCAAGTGCTTTAGCCACTATGTTACCAGAGCTCCTAAAGAATAATTGGAAGTCTGCAAAATTCACATAGGTGAATCTGGAGGACACTATGCTGAGTGAAATA